TTTGTAACATTATAAACGTATTTAGTCTATTTAGATTGATGTTTTGCTCAATTTAATGCATCCTTGATGAATACATTTCTTTTTTAATAAAGCAATAAGCCCCGCGAAGCCGTGTTTTACAGTGAATTTAGAACAGCTAAGGGGCGTTGTTAGGCACGACGTGGAGCGGAGTGTCATTTTTAGAATTCTTGCAATAATATAAATTATTGTTAATACGTATGTGAAGTACTATAAGCAAACATTGCTTTTTCTTAAATCAAGTCTAAAAACTAAGACCTCGGGGCTGGATAATTTGTGGATTAAGGTGAGTGCATGATTATTTTCTATTCAAAACAACATACCACATGTTATGCACTGGGAGTTATTTGTCACCTTCCTATCTGTGATTATCCCAGAGCAAAGTCACAGTAATGTCAGACTGATTGAGAGATAAGACCATTTACAGCCTGTGCACTCTCCTTCCGCATGAGGCCAAGTTTCAGGATCCCGATTGTTTCATAACACCATGTATGTGGGTGGTCTAAGCATCTGCACACTCTAACAACTGTATCCTAATTGTACCTATAATCACAATATCTGTTAATTAGAGATGTTTCGGCTTTATGCACATCATTCATAATTTGCCCATAATTAGCTCAGTATTTAGAATGCTAGCCACACAAGTGGAACTTTGAAAGCAGATCCTCTTTAAATCAAGTTGCCTGGAGGGATTTACTATTGTAAACAATGATCAAATGACAAAGCAAACAACACTGCATTATACAATGCAAATTGATATACGTATCATGATTATTAGGTCTCACCTCTTTCACGCTGGTTTCGGAACAGACGGGAGGATCCTTTCCAAACTGGCGGCGTATCTGACAGAATCTTGTCTAGATCCTTTCAAAAAAGCACATATACTCAGGATCATTCAGATTTTTTAAACTCAAGATAAATATTTATCAAACAAAAGAAAAACATGATCAAAACCTGTTTTGTGAGGGATCTCCAAAACCTCTTTTCTAAAAAATAAAAAAGAGAGATTTATAAGAATAAGTGGTATTGTCAAAACTATTTCTAAATACAAAAAATGGGTCAAAAGCATTACACTGTGTACAACAATTCTGTATGAATGACAAATTTGTACTTCAAAAAATATAAGTTCAAATCTGTTGCTGTCTTTTTGTAGAGTAGGCCTGCGTCGTTCAGGTTGAAAAGATACTGTTACAGTGAAGAAGACACTCTGAAATGTTTTGACTGGTTGAATCTGTTTCAACTTTCTCAGCAGTTTGACTATACCACACATGCCTACAATACAATTTCATGCATATAGAAATTAAAATTAAAATAACTTTTAAAAGAAAAAAATGTTGGTATAAAATCCAAACCACTGTATGGTTTAAATATGAACTGTAGCTTCTGTTTATATAATGCACTGAAAGTGTATTTTACAGCCACAGCATAAAGCCATAAATACCACTATTCGTTCCGTCATGCATATGCCATTAAAGATGGTGACGCAATGTTTGCCTGCCATATTAGAGTTCACATTTTATTCCTGTCTGCACATTCCAGGAAGTCCAAGTTTCAGATAGCAGCAAACATGACTGGTTGAAACTCAACCCCCATACAAGTATAGCTGGGTCGTGAAAATACAGCTATAGAGCATATCAACTCTACCATCTGGACCGATCTCAGTGCCGTCCCCGGTTATTATTAGAGATGAAAACTTAATGTCTTGGGTTTAGCAGAGATCCACTGTATCTGACACACACGTTTAAAAGTTGTCTATCTAGCTGCTTTCAGATTTTTGTTACAGAAATAGGTCATAAATGTGATGCTGGCGGAGAGAGATGACTATCTTCATGCAGGTGTTACGGCTACATGTGTTGATTTTATGCCTGCAGGGTTACTTGCTTGCTTTTAAGATGAAAAGGTTATACCTTACTAAGGCAAAGATCTGTAATAAAATGGATAGTTCACCCAAAATGCTGTCGTTATTTACTCGTGCTCAAGTCAAGCTGTAAGAAAAAATCCACAAAAGGAGAAATAAAAGAAGAAATTTTGAAGAATATGTAACTCATATTTGCTTTTGAGTCAGATTTTTTAATGAATCAGTTTGACATCTGTAAATGATTCATTCACAAATTGTTGGTTCATAGCCATCGCTACTTTTCTTTTATGATGCTTTTGCATTCTTTTGAAGCTTGAATGCTCCATTGAAGACAGGTTTGGAACAACATGATGGTGAGCAAATAATGAGAGAATTTTTACTTTTGGGTGAATTAATCCTTGAAAATAAGATTAAGTCAATAGGAGGACATCCTTAGTCTACAGTTACACAATCATATGTTGAGTTCATATATTCTGCTAAAGAAGATGAACTGTTTGTGTAACTCACTCTTTGGTTCGCTCATAGTGACAGACTCGATGAAGTCGAGGGGTGTCATGTAAAGCTGTCCATCATACTCCATTGAGCTGAAGAGCCTGAACCTGTGCTCATGGGCTGACATAAACACCTCTTCATCTTCAGCAGATACACTGGCCTATAATTAAACAAATACACATAAATACAAGATAAGACAAGTGTGACATTGAAGAAAGTCCTACCTATCTTTTTCCTTTCCTCCCTGTTTTTAATTTCACTACTGTTCCAGTACAAAAACATGGACACAAACATCCACAAGCAGATATATCACGGGCTAAACTCACTAGGACAGTGTTCTTCTCACTCTACGGTGGCCGGCGGCCAGGCCCACTGGGCACTGTGCAAACACCCTGGGAATGTGTGCCCTGCTACTTATTACCCCCATCATACGTCCACCCGGCTGCCAAGCTGCAGTGTCCGGTTACCTTAACCCTGGATTCCTGTGTCTCAATCCACAAGTCAAGGTTATGTCCAACCAAAGCAGATAAGGGTACAAAAACAAAAGGGAACATTGCAGAGAGATTCACACAACTATGGTTTAATGATCAATCTGATAACAATCTGATAAATGCTTTTCGACAACAGTCATACCAAGAATATGTGTTCCCCATTTGCTTTGTTAAACATAAAAAATAAATTAATATAACTAATTGTGATTAATCTCATATATTTATAGCTCTTTTTTAAGGAAAGAAACAATTATGTGTGTAATGTGTGCAAAAAAATATGGAAAAAGTCCTGTACAAATATGTATATTACAAAGAACTTTGAACTTGTTTCCTTCTTCTAATTTTTATGTAATGTCATAAAGTCATGCATTTGTGTGGATGACATTGACACTTGTAGCTGAATATAGTTTGTTTTTCATTGGTTGTTTTTCTGTCTAAAAGTGTCTTTAATAATAGTAATTGAAAAAAATCACACCAAGCACAACATGAGTCTAAGAAACATATTGTGGTTTCGGAAACACTGATCTAATTCGCTGTACAACAAATCTGGCTGAAAGACAAATGCAAAATAAGATTTTGACAGGAGAAAAGGTTGATGGTTGAATTTGCATGCCTAGTAAAATGACCCTTTCGGAGCCTAAGTCAGTAGCCTAACTAAGCATGCAAAACACATCCATAAAAATCTCCAATATGTCCAAACGTTAGCTATCTATAAAGTTCCAATATTTCTGGTATAAGTAGTTTCATAGAATCATAGTGCATCATCACCTGACTAATGAACTGAGACACTGAATTCAGCACCTCTCTGGTGGAGAGCGACTGTTTTGATGACACATGAAATCCACCGATTTTAAGTGTTTAGGAATAACAAAAACCGAGATGCTATAGTAATATACCATGTAAACACCCCAAACGTAAACACTGCACAATGTACTAAAATGTAGATATAGCTTACCTGCTCTTTTGCAGCCACTGCTGGGAGCGGAGAAATCAATGCGCGGAGACTCGCTGCGTGTCCCCGATACGGACTCGAAATGTGCTGGTAGTAAACAACAGCGAATCCACCGAGAGTGATACAAACCCCTGTCCCTACGTATCTCAGAGCTGTTCTTTCCCTCAACGATTGTCTGCTGTTAAAATAAAGGTTTAACCCGTTTGTTAAGCTGGTGAACTTGTTTCGAAGAGCCAGAACCCGACGTACGGCGGCCATCATGACTGCGTCACCGGCGAGGGGAGAGGAGAGGAGACTGCGCTCACTCATCGCGAGATACGACCTCCTACATCACATCGTGCAGAAACACATTAGCAGCTGTATTTGCAGTCATTTATCCTTTCCATTCGGGTCATGGTTAGAATTCATAGTTAAAGCCCTCAGATCTCAAAATGTTATGTTTTAAAATAGCGTTTTGAGAAGACGCCATCAAAAAGTGGTTATTTCTTTCATTTCATCGTCGCTAAAATACTGTAAGAGTTGTATATTTGATCTTCAACTTCTGTAATTAAGTGTTTTTTTGTGACCGTGTTTCTCAAACTTTGATATAATAGGCAAATTCCCACATTTACCTACACAAAAATTAATTAACGTAGAATCTAACATTAAAAAAACTAAATTGTAGCTACAAATTAATGTCAAGTCATATTAACCTGTTTAACAAAACAATTATGGCCTTTCAACAACAAATATGGCCTTTTTTAACAAAAAAAGTTGCTGCCTTAAATTTTAAGTACAATCAGCTTGGATGTTTAAGTTATCTCTACTTCAATTAAACTGACTTAAAAATGATTTGATTCTTGTAAAACTTATTTAAAATATTTGAAAATTGCTTTACTTATTTTGACGAGTAAAAGCAATGCAAAAACATATGTTGTCAACTTAATATATAACATAATATTTAACCTAAAACAAACCCTATATTATAATCGTGACAACTGCTGCTTTCCTCCTGCTTGTGGGGTAGCCTACATTTGGTGCCCACAATGTATGCAAAACCTGGCCCTCACAAACACAGGCATAAACGAAAACACAGACAACTGGGATTGTGCGCAAAAACTCAAGGCTGGACCAACCCGATGTCCCGCCCACAGAAGCCCGAGCTCTGCACCTGCCCCGCGCGCGCAGCAGCCACTCACTGCGCAAAGCACTTCCCACAACAGCACATACCTGCTGCCTCAATACCTGCTGCACATTTATTCATGTCAGAAAGCACCACCGGCCACCATGTGGACGAGGCATGAGAGCAGAAATTAAAGGACTTGTCTGAAGTCAGTTATTTGCAGTTACTGTTTCTTCCCCACTGGATATGTCTGTATAATCCACTGGAGTCAAGTGATATTCCATATGCGCTCAGCATGGATCCACTACAAATGACGTGCTCGCATGGATATTATTCGTCGTAACGAATAGCTTTGGACGATTGCTTCACCGTATTCATCTAGATCAAGTTTCCCTGAGCGCTCTTGCTGGATTGGAGGTTTGTAACTGCAGCTATGGGAGAGATCGGGACGTTTTTACAGAGCCTGGAGGGTTTCGGACAGGTCGGATCACAGTTCTTTCTGCCACCTCTAGGAGAAAACCTCGGGCTGTTGAATGATCATTTAGTTCCAGCAGAGAGACTGTCACGGAGCACCTCCGCAGATTTAACGCACTTGAAAGGGATCCTGCGGAGAAGACAGTTGTACTGCAGGACTGGATTTCACCTTGAAATACTCCCGGATGGCAGTGTGCAAGGCACGAGAAAGGACCACAGTCGTTTCGGTAATTTCCCTATTCATTTCCAGCTTGTTAGATTTGTTTAAACAGAAACTGAATCACGGTATGAACTCAATAGCACTGTGACTGTACACTTTTAAAAATAGAGGTTCACCATTTTTTTTATAGTTCTTATTGAGCAACTTAAATAGAACATAGAACTTGTATATCTACGTTCTGGTCTCTGTTAAAGAACCCAAACATTCAATATCTTGAATATGAAGTACCTAAAGAGTAATAACAGAAGAAAAAAAATTAGTAGATCACTAGTAAATAACACTTCACAGCAAAAAGAAATGTATTATTATCAATTCAGTAATATATATATATATATATATATATATATATATATGCATGTATTTATATATTTACTTTATAATAACTATATAATAGTCTTTGAAGTATAGAGATGAATAATGCAGTTCACAATATGTGATGAGGGTTTAGACTTCAAAGAACATCTCCTGAACAATTGATTTATTCTTCTCCAGGTATTTTGGAATTCATAAGCCTTGCTGTTGGACTAATAAGCATCCGTGGAGTGGACAGTGGTCTCTACCTCGGCATGAACGACAAGGGAGAACTTTATGGCTCTGTAAGCAGACTTTTACCCAGTTTGGACTTTTTCAGATCTTGTCTTACCACCGAGAACAATTGTTGTTCTTATTAAAGCCCAGTAGATGTCATATATGGTTTATCATATTGACCACCTCTCTTTCGCTCCATGTTATGAGTTTTGAGGAAACTGCATGAATTAGTTCACCAACATGTTTTTTGTTTCTTATAGGAGAAACTCTCAGCAGAATGTGTCTTCCGTGAGCAGTTTGAGGAGAACTGGTACAACACATACTCTTCTAATCTCTATAAGCACGGGGAGAGAGGAGCACGGTATTTCGTGGCTCTCAACAAGGACGGCACGCCACGCGATGGGACAAAATCAAGGAGACATCAAAAGTTCACTCACTTTCTTCCAAGACCGGTGGACCCTGAAAAAGTTCCAGAACTTTACAAAGAGGTGCTTGGACACAGTTGAGACCACCTGTCACCGTTATCGGGTGAGAGAGATGCCCAGTTTCTTCTCTACGTGAGGAGGAGATGATAATGTTTGGCCACAGCATCCAAACATGAGATCTGCTCTGGAAATGCACTGGCCAGTACTGATGGTGAAGACAACAGTCTCGAAAGACTCCCAAAGTGTGAAAGTCAAGCTGCATTTGGTGTCTTTGTTGCTGACGAGTAGCATAACCATGAAAACCAAATCTGAGGGTTTTGGAGCTTTTAAACATGGTGCTGCTTTGCTCTGGAAATATTCAATATGGGTTAAGAAGGACTTGAAGGAACAATGCTTACGTGATGCTCAGAGATGACAGAACTGGGACAGTAGAGAACAGGAGATGCCATCTCACACGATGTTATTTATACAGTTCTTGATTCACATATTTATTGTATGTATTTATTTATTTGGAAATATAAATATATATTTTTACATCTAAAAGTAGATTTTTTTTTATATTATACCAAACAGTAGAAGGTGCTTTGAAATAGTGACAAAGCTGTTCTTTTTTATATGACGGACACTGTAAAACGTACTTATTATCACTGCTATGCTATTACGGAGGGCGAGAAAGTGATTTACTATTACAAATGTATGAAGAACGCCATGAGACTCTGTGATTTTATTAGATTTGTTTCAAGCACGATTTCCCAAGATGGCATGCTGCACAGTACATTTTACAGGCCATTAAATCAAGTATTATCATAAAAAAAAAGCTAGTTGTTTGATATAACTCAATTCTGAAATGATTATTATCTGGGAAACATTAAAGATCATTTCTAACTGTCATGGTAATCATAGATTCTGAAACTATGAATTAATGTGTGTACAAAAAAAAGGAAACAAACCAAAGCTGTCTTAAAGGTATAGTCCAAAAAAAAAATCTTTCATCATACTCACACTAATGTCGTTCCAAAATGGTATAAATGTCTTCCTTTTGTGGAACATAAAAAAAAAATATTTTCAAGAATGTCTGTGTTTTTTGCCCATACAATGGAAGTCAGGGGTCAACAATATATAGTTTGGTTATTAACATTCTTCAAAATACCTACTTTTGTGTTCTGCAGAAAAAAAAAAATCACACAGGTTTGGAACGACATGAGGGTGAGTAAATTATGACGATTTTTATTTTTGGCTGAACTATCCCTTTAGCCTAGACCCAGGGTTGTCCTGCACTCATCAGCATCAAAGTTCTTTTGCGAGACCTTCTCAGGTAACAGCTACACAATGACTGAATCTGAGTGAAATAAAAACTGACCTTTTCTTTTGGGTCAAACCCAAAGTTAGAGTAATCTCTGCTGATGCGATTCATGATGCCTACTAAACACATCAGGCAAAGCTATAAAGAGAAAATGTGTCTGCTGTGCGGACTGTAAGAATGAGATCATTGGTAAAAAAAAATAGAAAAACACTTATCAAATGCTATTTTAATTCATCATACATATAAACCACACAAGGTTTTGTGTTTTCTTTGACACATAGTACCAGCATTTTGACATGAATCCAAGCAAAACGCTCTGGGGAAAATGATATGAGATTTAGACACCACGGGCTAAACCTTCCTGAATGTTGTTTAACGGCTGAATGAGACATTTCCACAACAATGACTAAAGAGGCACATCTATACACAGTTTCTAAACGGATGAGAGGACATTTTATGTTGAAGCATGAAGATACGGTCTGTGATCTCAGTATCTCTGTGATGGTGAGCCAGGGTCTGTCTTAAGAGGGGAGTGTACTTGCAACATTTTACAATGTGGGATTTTCCCCATCTTAAAACTATGTGACTGGTAACAACAGATATATGAGAGTGAAGGTTGAGTCTGAGTATATGAGCTTCACTCCGTGAAGATAAACAACTGTGTAATTAAATCGCAAGTGCTCTGATTTCTATCATCATATATAGTTTGATTAATTCTGTAAAACATTTGTATGGTTTAACAAATAAAAAGGCAATGTTTCCCCAAGTTTCATGTCATCATTTTGTTTGTTTTGTGCAAATGTCACCATAGATATTAGGTCACCGCTTTAATGTAAGAGTTCGTGTCACAAAATACTCCCTGGCACACGAAGAACCAATGTATTTTTCCATCAGTCAGAGCTGAAATAGATGCCTCTGTCTGTTCTTCTAGCAGGTGGTCTGAAGCACTTTACAGGCAACACTTAAATCCTTCATCCATGCCCTCTCTCAGCCCTGCCTCATGCACTTAATGGATGCACCCTTATTTTCGTCACCTCAGACTGGCCTCAAAGAGCACTCAAAGAAACCCTATCAGATACGTGTGTGTGTGTGTGAGACAGGTGTGTAAGTGAGGGATCTGTCTCTGTGGCCCAATCAGACATTGCAGGTGTTCCCACAGCACTTGTCAGCATGTCCTGGGTCTCTGATCTTAAAGGCCCTGTGTTTGTCAGCTGCGAATAGGGGGCGGGAGTCCACACAACCCTGTAGAAATACAGCCTCGGTAGCTTTGTAGTCCCGTGTGGATTACAATAGTGCATAATTCATATCTTTACAGACTGGGGGAAGTAGCAAAGTCTCACCTGGTGTTTTAAGTTGTAGTCTCAGGGCAGATTTGTGTTTGCACAGATTTGTGTTTGTCTGACAATATCCTCAGCAACTGTTTATCTTGAGCTCCTTTGCATAAATTACCGCTTTAAAGCCAATGGACAACAATAAACGATCAGTCAAGATAAGTCAAGTCACCTTTATTTATATAGCGCTTTATACAATACAGATTGTTTCAAAGCAGCTTTAGTGATAAAAGGAATATGATGCATTTCGGCTGTACGTTCAGATCAGCTGAATAATACTGTACCATTCAAAATTTGGAATAATTATGCTCCGCAAGGCTGCATTTATTTGACTAAAAATACAGTAAAAACAGTAAAATTATGAATTATTATTACAATTTAAAAGAAAAGTTTTCCATTTAATATAATTTAAAATGTAATTTATTCCTTTAATGGCAAAGCTGAATTTTCAGCATCATTACTCCAGTCTTCAGTGTCACATGATCCTTCAGAAATCATTCTAATATGATGATTTGCTGCTCAAGAAACATTTCTTATTATCAACATTAAAACCAAGTTTTGCTGATCAATATGTTTGTGAGTAAGATTTAAAAAATACTTAATACTTTTATTCTGCAATAAATTGATCAAAAGTGACAGTAAAGACATGTATACAGTTACAAAAGATTTCTATTTCAAATAAATGCTGTTGTTTGAACTTTCCATTCATCAAAGAATCTGTAAATGTATCATGATCTCTAAACATTTTCAACACTGATAACCATTATTAATAATTGAGCACCAATAATAATCAATAATAATAAATGCAATGTTATATTGACATTTGGAATCTTAAAGGGACAGTTTACCACAAAAATCCTGTCACTCTACCTCCACTCTTTACTTCTTACTTCTCCAGTCTTTCCAAACCTGTATGACTTTCTTTCTTTTGGTGAATTATTTAATACAATGAGAGTGAATGATTACAGGGACTGTTAAAATGGTATATAAAAAAAGCAACATGAAAGTTTCATAAAAGTGGTCCATGTGATTCTAGCTCTCCTTATGTATTCACAAGATTTCACGAGACAAAAAATTGTTAAATTTGTAAATGAATGGTTCAAATCTTCAAAAGTAATATTTTATTGTCAGACCCTGAAAATAATAATAAATAAAACTATAAAAGGAAGAAATAACACTGAATCAACTATCTTCCTGAGGATTCTTCTTCAGTGTAGAGTAGGTGTAGAGAAGTTAATAATATCCTTTCACACCTTTTTGGCACGTCATCTTGCTTCATTTTTTGGTGTATGTCTTACCACTCTGCAAGTAGGCAATGAATGTGATGTTTTTATATTGACTTTTGACTTTCAAGCTGTCAACTAGTTAAACTGTTGTTCTGGTGTTTGCATTACTATGGAGACATCAGGAACGACTTGCACGATCCAACTAGTAGTTACGCATTTTAAAGCTCTTTTAAACACCTCTTATAACGTCGCACGTCTTTTTCTATCATGTATTTAGGAATGAGCAATTTATAAACAGGTCTTTAACAAACAGATAAACAATATGGCTATTTGAGAGTGTGAAAATGATCAGATTGTATTTTAACACTATGAGCAAAATGGCTCAGATCAGTGACATGAATATTATCATGACAATATTTTCACTCATCTCAAAAAAATGGTCATTTTGAGCATCTCTGCAGTCATGCGAGACCTCTGGCAGTAGACTTTACATCTTCTGAAGGCTCTTCCCCACCCCCAGACTTTTTACGGAGACCTTCTCACATCTGCTGAGCAAACTTTTCCAATTCTCCCAGAGGGGCCCAGATCTGGCCCTCTCCTTGGCCCATGTGTCCACATTATAAAGCCACAAATTAGCTCTTGACATTTGGGCACCATAATTGCTCCTCAAAAGCATGAGGCATCAATTAGGCTCCCAGCAGTGTGACAGCTTACCCCTATAGGACATGTCTGATCTGAGGACAGAAGCTGCTCACGGCCTGACTGGTCTGGACAAAGACACCCAGATCCATGTTCATATAAGCAAACTGCTGCACTGAGAAGAATCACATGATATTAACTGACTTAAAAAATTTGAGTGCGCGTTTCTCACCTTCATACGATAAAGTAGCCTGTGAACAGTTAATAAAATAACAATGTTCTATAATTTATTCACGTGCTATACAAATATATATTCATTTCCACATGAAGAAGGACTGGTCCGGGGTGTTGAAATGGCATCAGAGATGTCTTTGATTCTCCACAGCAGGCTTTTCCCACAAAGCTCCCTTAACCTAAAGGTCAAAACAAAGGTCAATTGGTTAATTTCCATACTTTCCACCCAAAACATTCTTAAAGCACTCCGAGTAATTCAATCAGCAGCTAGAACATGCAATAACATCCTTGAGTGAAATAGAAAATCATTAGTGTTTGTTTTACATGCTAAGACAAAAATGACAAAGTCACTATTTGAGGAGGTCACTGAAAAATTAGAGATGACAAGAATAAGAGACTAAAATCTGACTATAGTTTCTATTTATTGGTGAAAGCTTGTAAAGACGGTGTTGCGGAGTTTGAAAAGCCCACGAAAGGTATGTGCACTGTACACTCAATGCTAGCAAGTAAAAGTGGAAATGTGCATTGTTGGCCATAAGTGAGGCGGAAAATTGCTAACCCATTTGTCATTGTGCTCCTTGATGTAGAGGTCAATCAATGGATTCTTTCATGACAAGCCTGTAGAATTGAATGTTTTTCCATGGCCTCACCCCTTCACACCTGGACTGCCAGGTAAAATAACAAAACAAGAAGAGTGCAAAATAAAAGAGGGTTTAGCAGAGGACTGCCTTGTAGGCCAAGGAAAACTGATAGGTGAGAGGAATTTGTCATGCATCTAGGTACCTCTATGTTCAATTTGCAATGAATAGAGTGCATGGCAGAGGAAACCTTTGTGATTTTGTATAAGATTTCCATACCTTTTTCAGTACGTACTGTTAGCATGCATACATTATACTATGCCTACTACATAAATTATTTGGCCTTAAACCCCAAGGGTAATTTTCAAGAATTACTTGTACTTTGTTTGTGTGGTCGTCGTATAAACGCATTACATTGATGAGGATGTTAAGAGATTACTTTGTTTTCCTGGCTCAGCATTAATGCACTTCATTCATCATGTGTTTTGTGCCATACATTCCTGATTAACTTTTATTTGGTTCCTGCTAGAGTTCCTTTGCATTCAAGGGTGAGAACGGATTTCAGTTTACATGACAAATTGCTCGTTGTCTAAATGCAAATATATTTGATTCCCCTTAATAACCCCATCAGAACCTATTGACGTCTCTTGAGGAGAAATTATTTCCGCTTGTCAAGCACTTGTCTGGATTCCAGTTGCCTAAATCAATAGTCTCCTCCTTTATTGGGCCGGTGGTTGATTTAGTTGTTCAGTGAGAAATCAGTCACTCCTTCTAGCACTTATTCTATTCTAAGAAAAAAAAACAGGATTCCGTTTTTTCGTATTTTAAAGAATTTCAAAGGAAATAGTGTATCTATCCATCTATCTATCTATCTATCTATCTATCTATCTATCTATCTATCTATCTATCTATCTATCTATAACATTTTACAGATTTTGCTGCAAGAAAAATATGAATGATAACCATTTATGAGATAAAATTAGCGCAGCTTTAAGTCAATACGAGCTAATATTGGATTAGGATTAGTGATGACAGTGATTTTTATGGCTCAGTTCCATTTAATTAAACCAAAACACAAGATGTTATGTTGCTGCCTTTTCCGTCTACATCATCATCAGCTGTAGTGGCACCTGAATTTCAAAGGATGTTTTTACTTGGTGAAATCCCATGTGTTTCTTTGACATGGCCTGCAGTGATCATATATACAGAGATCAAAGTGTAAATATCAAAAAGAGTGGCCACCTGTCAATGTGTACATATGCAATTAAAACGCTCCCATCAAGAGATTCTATAAATCATAGGGCTGAGCACCGCAGGTTCTGACAAGACATCAGACGTGTATGAAAACACTATCAGAGGCAGCATGGGAAGATGAGCGAGGGGGTCAGAGGTTAAATTATAATATCCGGATGATATTATCACAGTTTTTAGTCCTTTAATGTGTTTAATATGTAGCTCATTGAATATTTTACTAAAGATTTGCTGATTTGAAAATAATACTTAATGGACGGACGGACCGACGGGAGGAGACAGACAGACGGACGGACGGACGGACGGACGGACGGACGGACGGACGGACGGACGGACGGACGGACGGACGGACGGACGGACGGACGGACAGACAGACAGACAGACAGACAGACAGACAGACAGACAGACAGACAGACAGACAGACAGACAGACAGACAGACAGACAGACAGACAGACAGACAGACAGACAGATAGACAGACAGACAGACAGACAGACAGACAGACAGACAGATAGATAGATAGATAGATAGATAGATAGATAGATAGATAGATAGATAGATAGATAGATAGATAGATAGATAGATAGATAGATAGATAGATAGATAGATAGATAGATAGATAGATAGATAGATAGATAGATAGATAGATTGATTTAACATGATAAACATTTGATACATTTTTAAAGATACAGGCACAAAAAAGAGTGTTTGCTTGTTCGTTTGTTCATCGACCACTTTTATTAAAAGCAACTTTCAAACTTTAAACTTTCAAATCCCCTCACTTTGAGAGTCCTATCACCCTGATCACATCGTTGTGCATCAAGCATGTTACATTTAATGTCGGCAT